GCATCCGTCAAATACCTATGGAGGAAGGTATTTTCGGTTTTGAATATGCCGAAACAATTGCAAAAAAGGATTTGGACCAGATTTTCCAACATTCTGAATTGGGCATCGGTGTTATGCATTTCTACATCAGGTGCTCCGATCAATTTTAATTAAATAATTGAACAATTTATTTGCTCATTTAAATGAATATTATAATGTTGATTATGTTTTTATTTAAGGTTCTTGTATGACAAGTTGTTGGTCCCGCATAATTTGACTTCAAGATTCGCATTCTTATCTACTAGCTGTATCAACTCACGGCCAATCGATTGCACTTCAGATGCAGTCAGAGATTACATGGTCTAAGCATTTATGATCGCAGATACAAGGAAGTTGCATTTTTTGGCATATAATACTGACCATGGGTTAGATTTCATTCTAAATTCATTTATTATAATTATTCGTTTTTGCCATTCTATATAACATTTCCGTCTAAACTTTTGTCTTATTTTACAGTGGACACTGGTTGTTGGTTGCGGTTAATCTGATGAAAGAAATAATGTATTATCTGGATTCATTGGATGGTGATCAAACAAAATATCCTGATATGAAGAAAATAGTTGATACGTAAGTGATGAGATATATTATATTGTTCTGAATAATTATCTTTATTTATTACGTGAGATTGTTCTAAATATTCGTTTATATTATGTTAGAGTTATACAAATATTCCGATCACAAAGAGAAGCAACAATGCCAAAAAGGAAGGCTAACAACATTAGCTGGATCAGAGTGCAGGTATATTTTCACAATTTTGACTGTTATAGTGATTCTACTTGATAAAACTAGTTAAACTATATATCCTGATAAATATTCGTTTATTTTTTCCATTTACAGTGTCATCGTCAGCGCAATGAGATTGATTGCGGATATTTTGTATTTAGGTTTATGAAAGAAATTATTCATTCGGGTCAAATAGAGATTCCAATCATGGTATGGATCAATTTATAAGTTATATGATTTATTTTAATATTTAACCGATATTTCATCTGAGTAATTAGTTTTTAAACTAAATCATGCATGTTATGTTATATTATGTAGTACTTTGATGAATTCAAGTATGGTACTTACTCGAAAGACAGATTGGAAGAGATTAAGGAGGAATGGTGTCAATACATTCTTGAGTTGAGAATTGTATAAGGTATATATATTGTCAAATATTGATGCGGGATAATTATATTTCTGGAAGTCGTATGTAGTTTTGGCGCTATATGTGTAGTACTGAATGTATTTGCAAAATTATCAGTTTTGTAATTATATGTATAGTGACTGTATTTGTGAAGATGTTCTGATGATCGGCTTGTGTTGAATTATAAGCAGGTTAATTTATGTGTTGAATTACAAAGATTATGGTATATATAAGGTCAAAGTGTTGAATTAAAGGCCTGAATTATATGCAGGTGAATGTAATTGTTATAAGCAGGTTTGTCGAAAAAAATATAAAAAATAGTGCAACATAATTCAAAAAACTCGTTTATAAAGAATATGAAAAATAAACAGTGTTTTTTTTACCAAAAAACGCTATGAAAAAGTGATATTTTTTAAAAAATTTGTTTAAAGACGTGAAGAATAGACAACACTTTTATTAAGAAAATGCTGCTAAAGGGGGGGGGGGGGGGGGACATAGAGAGCGCTCAAAAAAGCGCTGCTACATGGGGGAAGGGAGGGTAAAGATAGCGCTTTAAAAAGTGCTACTAAAAGGGGGGGGGGGGGAATAGACAACACTTTTCAAAAGCGCTGCTAAAGGAGGGGGGGATAGGCAGCGCTTTTCAAAAGCACTATTAAAGGGGGGCGAATAGAGAGCGCTTTTATGGAAAAGCGCTGCTAAAAGTGGGCCTATAACAACGCTTTTTTCATAAAAAAAGCGCTGCCTTTACCTTTAGCAGCGTCACTTTAGGCAGCGCTTTTAAGCGCTGCTAAAGGCCAAAAAAAGCGCTGCTAAAGGTCTATTTTTCCATAGTAATTGGTTATAATTTAAATAAATTCACTCATTTAATAACTGTATATTTCATTTATCAAATAAAATACTTTATTTCTATTAAATTAGATATTTTTTGTCCAAATTATATAATGTTGTTCGATCTGTTCGACCACTATACTATTAATATTGATATTGTGAGTTTAAAATGTGACAATAATGTGCGAACTCTACGCTATGCATTCATTATCGGTTTTATGACTGTGAGATTCTTAAAGAAAAAAGACAGACGTATTATGTTTGTGAGATTTTTAAAGGGAAAAGACCAGATATTGATACGTATCTTGGAAATGGTTGGTATCAGAATGTAAAATTCAAAAATTTTAAGGTTGAGGATGTCTTAATTTTTCATTATCGGTTTGCTTCAGAGATACTATAAGTTAAGAATGTGTATAACTGTTTGTTTTAAAACTTGTATAAATTTTTTTATAAAAAAGGGTCATTTTTATTTTATATAATATAAATAATTAAATTATATTTTAAAAAATATTATTAAAACTTTAAAACTATAAATATTTTATTTATTAAACAAATTTATATATAATTTTCTCAAAGTGGTATATGTTATCTAGCATACATAGGGTGTAATAAAAAATGGGACTCTAACTAGAAAAACTCAAATGAAAACTAGACACAAGATTATAATCGCAAGCCCTTACAAAAGCCCATTATCATTTCCAAAGAGAAAAAAAGATTTTAAAAATTAATTAATTAATTAATCAAAACCCTACTCAACGAAACTCAACAGCTCCATCAAAACGACACTGCACTTCGAACTGAACTCAATTCGCCGGAAAACGAAGTCGGAGTTCGTCGTCGGCCGCCATAAACAGTGAAAAGGTTTGTCCAGGTTTTCCTTCTCTCTTTTTTAACTCGAATTTTCGTTCTTCTCTACTGTTTCATGCGTGAAAATGCGATTCCATGATTGCGCGCTAAAGCAACGCGATTGATAGCATAGGAATCAATGTTATCTGTTTTTAACTGTAGTGTAAACAAATGGATCATTTTTGGTATTATTGAAGTGTTATATGCTGGTGTTATTATAATGAAATTCGAGTAAGAAATTGAATGGCCAATGCTTTCTGAGTATAAGATTATTGGTATTTTCTCTGTTTGTAAAAGTTTAGAGGAGGTTTTATTGAATTAAATTTTAGTATTTTATAATGTGTTGGTGGGAATTTGGTTCTAATGTTGAAACTCTGTTTTTTGGTGGCCATTCCAAATCCATACCTCATTTCCTGCAAGAATTTAAAATTTTATTCAGGCATAATGAAGCACGGAAACCAGAAACACGACACTGACATGTCTATACCGGGTAATAGTTTGAAAATGGACAAATTCAATGTAATCACAAGCGTCGGAGTCAGTTTCGGGCACGGACACATTTTTTTTGGAGGTGTTGGTGCGACAGAGGGCATAATGCTACCTGATGTAAAATTACTTAAAGACAATGATCCCTTCAATTTACAAATCCGTAGGCAAAATGCTTCCTAAAATTTCATAGATTATGGAAAAAATGCTCTTTGAAATTTGCAAACCTGCGATTGGGAAATTATCAAAATGTTCTACATGACGTGTCGACAATGTGGAAATTCACATTGTTATTTATTGTGACATCTCAACACTCATCCAAGATGTTACTTGGCCGAAGGAGTATTTTGATTTTTGATAGACGTGGTTCTTTTTGAGGAAAGAATTTTCTATTTTGTTAGCTTGGAGTCCCAATTTGCCTTGCGTTAACAATTTCGGGTCTAAATTTGATAGTTTACTCTATTTGGTTATGTTCAAATGCATGGGAGCAAGGAAATACTCTTAACTTAATGTCTCTCTAGTCTAGCAGATATAAACCAAAAAGTGGTGTGTATGTTAGAGTGCGACCTCGAGAGTTTAGACTAGGGTTCCTCTATGTTGTTAATATTATGCAATAGCAATGCTATAGCAAAATAGCGTAGTAGGGTTCGGTGCAACGCTATTGGTCCACGAGCCACTATCAACAATAGAGGTTATAGTGGCCACAAATTGTGTCCCCAAACTGCTATTGCACTCGCTATTAGAATTTTGGGAATAAATTCATAAATTTTTTTTATTTTTTTTTTATTTTTTAATTTCAATTTAAACCCCCTTGAAGAGTAATGTTATGTTCTTTCTTGCTTAAAAATGATTGTTTTGCTCTTCTTACTTTTAATTCAATTCCAGTTTATTCTTCGTATTTGCTTATGTTTAATTACTATATACTTAGGTTTTTTAACTATTAAGTCTATTTTTGAGTATTTATGTTTATTTTGTACAATAGTTTTTAGTCTTTGCAATAGCTGCTATACTGCTATAGCATTTTAGGGGGTCAGTGCTATGCAACACTCTCTGAGATTAACAACATAGCTCTATATTAAAATCTTATATCATTTAGAGACTGAGAAGCTTTTTGTTTTTATTTATTGATAGGAAAACATATCTTAGCTATGTTGGTTTTGAGGGTTCAAACCCTAGACTTCCTACTTGAACTAATCCGGTGGTCTTATGCGCTTGCCGACCAAGATCTACTTGTGTGAGACAGAGAAGCTTTTTGTGATTCCCTTATTATTTTTGCGAATATATTATTGTTAGTCACCTTACCAGATTTTGAAAAAGCAAAGAGCACTGATGGCTTGCTCCATTGCCTTTCTGTTGCTGTTTCGTTTGTCATGTGATCTGTGGATTCTCGTGTTTCGTGTCTTGTTGGTCATCACTCTTATATTTCTAATTTGTTAAGTTGTTGATTTTTAGATCATCCATAACCTAAGAATATGCAGTGTTGGGTCCATCTTCATGACTTTGTAATTTACTCCTAGTCCTATATAAAATATACAACAGTTCAATAAGCCTTAGATGATGGTATTTAAACAAATGTTTTGCTGTATCTACCAGGATTTGTGCTGGAATAATGTCCGCAATGTACGTTGAATGAGCTGATTTGCCAATTCAGAGAGATCTTTACAAGCCAAGAATGAGCTTGCTTTTGAGAATAAGACATTGTTTACCCAATGGTTTGTATAGGCAGCCTCTTTATGGACGCATAGTAGGTTTGAATGCTAGGAAATTAAATGTATTTTCAAGAAACTTTGGTCAAGCGGCAAGAAAAGAGGAGGAGGACGTAGAGGAAGTGGAAATTGATCAGAGAAGTCTCCCGGCTGATTTTGACCCTGCAACATTTGATCCCAATGAGAATCGTGGCCCTCCATCAGAGAGAGTTTTCAGGCTTGTTGATGAAGTGGCATCTCTAACACTAGCCGAAGCTGCAGAATTGGGTCTCGTTCTGATGAAGAAAATGGGTATAAAGGAGATGCCTAATGTGGGATATTTGAAAGCCGGGACTGCAAATTTGGCTGGAATGGCAGCAAAAGCCTCAACATCAGTCAAAGAGGAGGTAAAACCAGAAAAAACTGTATTTGAATTGAAACTGTTGTCCTATGAAGCAGCTTCCAAAATTAAAGTAATCAAAGAAGTTCGGGGCTTTACGGATTTAGGTTTGAAGGAGGCAAAGGATATAGTGGAAAAAACACCCTCTATTATAAAGAAAGGTGTTTCAAAGGAAGAAGGAGAACAGATAATAGAGAAACTGAAAGCACTTGGTGCAAATGTTGTTATGGAGTGAAGTAATGTGTTGTGTTTCTTAGAGATATGTTTCTTCCAATATTCAAAAGTTACCTGAAATTTAGTAAATTTTGTAATGTTGACTGAGGGTACTGCAAATTTTTAGTGTTGTTGTCTACGATGTTTCAATCATTTTCTGCTGCGATAAAACAATATCCCTCCCTTGGAATAAAAGTAATATTGATACCTCTTATAGTGATTTGCAAACAATTTCAGTGACATTGCTGTTAGTCTATTACAACAAAGATAGACATCTGCTAAGCAGACAAACAAAGTTGTTTGAAGTTATTTAAGACAATTTCAGCTTTTGAATTTGTCTTTCCATTTTAAGTTGAGTCTGTTTTGCTGTTAATTGTATTCAATATACTTTGCTTCGCCAATTCAATATCCATTTGCAAGGACAAATCTTGCATCTGCTACTTTGTCCCTGCAGGTTTCTGAACAAGTAGATGCTTTGGCTGTTCTGATGCAAAAGATTGGAAACAAGCTTCCAATCGCCTATTTATTATCCACCTGTGACAATCAGTTTCTGGGTGGCAGGCAAAAGTCATTTTCAAATTAGTACTCTAAAGTTTCGGATCATACAACTATGTGAGTTTTATAGGCTGATTTTGCTGCAATTTGTGCAGCCAGAAAAACTCCTGCAAATATTGCTAACACTCAGGTTCTTTTATGACCTGTTCATGTCCCTCCGTAGAATTCCCTTCTTCTCCCACCTTTGTGGCACCACATCTTTGTTGTTGTACAAGTCTATTGATGTTCAAGAGCTTGTTGAGTTTTTCAATGTCATTCATTAAATTGGCAAGATCATTAGAGAGTTCATCAACTTTTGATTTACTCATCAACAATCTTAGGGAAGCTAGCCAACAGTCAGATGACTATTTTCAACCCTGTAATTCTTTTCACCTTTCTTTGAGTTTCACATTGTTTAAATACTTATGTTCAAAATCTTTTGAAAGTTTTATGAATTTCCTTTGCAAACACTTTTACACATTGGCTAGGTTGTCAATAGTGTGCTATATCTGTATTGCGCATCAGCACGGTCCCTCACTGCTATGCATTTGGCAGGCGAAGCACTATTGACTGCAGTTGCGAATAACGGCTTTGCAACAGCTCAATAGCAAAGCTAAGGCAGTTTGATGGCCGCCATTCTCAATTTGGAACAAATTTGTAAACCCATTTTTAAAAGTATATTGATCTTTTCCACCTTTTTTACCTAATATTTAACCCTGCTTTTGTTTTTTCTGTTCTCCTTTGTCTTCCGTTTTCCACTCTATTTCTATTCTCAATTGTTCTTCGTTGTTTGCTGCCGTCTTCATTTGTTTCTTTCCCATTCGCCACCCTTCTCTCCCGCCTTCCTGTTTCCATTGTTCTTTGTTGTTCTCGTCTGTTTTGCTTCTCTTTTAATAACGGCCATGGCATCATCGTCCTCTCTCTGAAAGTGTAACACCAACCTCCAACAACAAAGGTTATTTGTAAGTCTATTGGTGACAACCTTATTGGTTGGTATGGAACTCTCATAAAGATCAGAGCTGGAAAATATTGTTTGTGATTTTTGTGAAAGAACAAGGTTTGAATCAAGTGATGAATAAGATAATATTAATATGGTGGAATTTAGAAGGAAAGATGAGGCATATGCAGATGTGATTTAAAATTTTCATTTTGTTTATGTTTGAAATTTGGTTTAGTATCAAGTGACAAACAAATAATATTAATGCGGGGGAACTTAAAAATGAAGATGAGGCAGACATGGATTGTGATTTAAAATTTTCATTTTATTTATGTTTTGAACCTCGGTTGGTTATTTTGAATTTTATTATTTGTTTTTGATGAGAACTCATTTTGAGTTATATAGGTAGTTTGAATATTTAGTATATACATTCTTTTTTAGCGATATCTCACTATGTATGTTGTTGCAATTTCAATTTTTAAGAATTTATGTAGAGTGACAAAATAGATCTAATCGGTTAGACATGTCTGTTTTGTCAACAATATTTTGCGAGAAAAGTCAAGATTTTAGACGTACACGCTTTAATATGTCTCTTGTCCTTTTTTTTTTTTTTTTGTAATTTAATCTTTAAAAGTGCAGTGTTTATGGATCCGTCCCGCCCATTCTCATATTTTTACGAGATGAATCAAAGTTTTAGTCTTGAGCTCTACACAATGTGATGGATATCAGATTCACAAGTAAAGAATTAGAAAGAAAATTCAGTTAACTATAATTGTATTAATGAGAAAATGGCACAATTACAAGTATCAGAACAATGGAAAAGAATAACAAATGAGAAAAAATTGACATCCTTAATAGACTTATTTTTCCATTGAATCAAGCTTTGTCGTGTAGAGACCCCTCCTGCACAGTAACCATTGAGCCCAAAACCTTGACCGGATAAATCTTCTCATCAAGTATCACATCCAAATCCTTAAGCAACTCACCTTGTACCTGATAGTCTCCAATGGCCTTTTTTAATAGGGAAACATGAAAAATATGGTGAATTTTAGATTGGTCAGGCAACTGTAGTTTATACGCAACTTCACCAATCCTTTCAATAATCTTAAAAGGACCATAAAATTGTGCTGCCAATTTCTGATTGATCCTTCTAACCACCGAATGTTGCTTAGGAGGCCTTAATTTCAAAAAAAACTCATTCTCTCACATCATACCTTCTCTTCCCGTTCGCATATAACTGTGTCTGTTGCTGAGCTTTCAGTAGATATAGTTTCAACTATCCCAATGCTTCATCTCTATCCTTAAACTTCAAAGCTACTGCAACCACCTTAGTTTCATTACTAATAAATCTTAACAACTTAGGTGGTTTCTGTTGGGAAAGCTAAACACACCTAATTCAACGTCAGCGGATAATTAATATCCCTGGATCAAACTTTTTCCACTATAATAATAATAACAATGGAGCAGCAAAAATTCCTTCTGTTTAAATGAATAATAATACAAACTAATTATTACAACTCTTACCAACAAATATGGTGGATAACCTCTCTTTTGGATCTGTCTCTCAAAAAAGAATTTTCACTTTGATGATGTTTATAGAAATGAAACAACAGAAGCTTATATATCCAAACCATGCAACAAATTGGTGGCTATAACGTAAAGAGAAAATTTCTCTTTCATAAGTTCACCAAGGAATACTCGCGTACTTTCAATTCCATTTTCTATAAATGTTAATCTTTCTCCTTCTTTCTCTCTTCACATAAAGAGGAAAGCCTATCAATCTCCCCCATCTGATTTAGGTGGAGGGCTCATCAATCCAGCAACTCTCCTGCAGAACTCGTACTTGTCCTTGGGTAAGGACTTGGTCATCATATCTGAGCAATTGCCATCAGTATGAATTTTCTCAAGCTGCAGTTGCTTGGAATTCAACATATCAAGTATCTAGTGATATCTCACATCAATATGCTTTGACCTCGAGTGAAAGCTCAAATTCTTACTCAAGTGGATGGCGCTCTAACTATCACAATGTACAATGTACTTCTGTTGGTCTTGCCCTAATTCATGCAAGAATCGCTTCATCCATAACATTTCCTTGCAAGCTTCGGTTGTTACAATGAACTCTTCCTCTGTGGTAGACAAAGCAACACACTTTTGTAGCTTCGACTGCCACGATACAGCTCCCCCTGAAAATGTAATCAAGAATTCAGAAGTTGATTTCCTAGAATCAATATCTCCTGCCATATCTGCATCTGTATAGCCAATTAGTTCAGGATTTCTACTTCCAAAGCATAAACTCATTTTGGAAGTTCCTTTGAGATATCGCAAGATCCACTTCATAGCATTCCAATGCCCCTTTCATGGATTTGCCAAGTATCTGCTAACAACTCCAACCGCATGCGTTGTATCTGCTCGTGTGCATACCATTGCATACATTAAACTATCAACAACTGATGCATATGGCACCTTATGCATCTCTTCTTTTTCAATTTCACTTGTCAGACTCTGCTTTGAACTAAGACAGAAATGACTAGCAAGTGGAGTAGCAACTGGCTTTGCGCTTTCATGTGAAAACGCTCTAACACTTTCTCGATATATTTTTCTTGTGATAGCCACAACTTATGTTCCTTTCGGTCACGACAAATGGACATACCAAGAATATGCTTTGTTGGTCCCAAGTCTTTCATTGAAAAATACTTCTTCATTTCATTCTTCAACTTGCTTATCTTCTCACTATTTTGTCCGGCAATCAACATATCATCAACATATAAGAGTAATATGATGAACTCGCCATCATCAAATCTCTTCACAAACACACAATGATCAGAATTAGTTCCTCGGTATCCATGATCAATCATGAAGGAATCAAACTTCTTGTACCATTGACGTGGTGCCTGTTTAAGTCCATACAAACTCTTTTTCAGCTGACATACTAAGTCTTCTTTGCCTTTGACTTTGAATTCCACTAGTTTCTCCATGTAAATTTCTTCTTCTAAATCACCATGAAGAAATGCAGTCTTCACATCTAGTTGTTCCACATCTAGATCCAGACTTGCAGCCAAACCAAGCACTACCCGGATTGACGACATCTTAACCACTGGTGAAAAAATCTCTTCAAAATCAATGTCTTTCTTTTGACTAAAGCCTTTGACATAGGGATGTAAATGGATATCCATGGGGGCCGATACTATGATATCCGTATCCGCCCCGTTAGATAAATATGATATCCATATCCGCCCCATATCCATGTGGATATCTGTTAAGCGGGTAATCCACGAGTTTTATGGTATCCACAGATATTTACAGATATCCCTGGATAATACTTTTTTTTATAAAAATTATTTTTTAAGAAAATTATTTTTAACTTATTTTAAAGACACAAAAATTTATTATCACATAACATCCATACAAAATATTCGACAGAGGAATGATGGAAGATCAGACGACAGAGGAGTAGAAATGGAGACACTAGTTCGACAAAGGAATGACGATATTAGTTGGTTGGACTGTGAAATTGATGAAGTGAGGTATGAAGTATCGAAGAGTTTAAATAT